CTCCAGCATCTGCAGTTCCTACTATCTCCTCATTTACAGAAGCTGTTTAATTTTTACATTTTTTAGTTTAGTCTCAAGCTATTTTCTCCATTTATTTTAGCCTTCCCAAAAGATCCTTTACTACGAGATTATTAACTAATCCTGTCCATTACCTATTAGCAGGTCTAAAATAGCCTGTTTCCTGATTGGTTCCACTACTTGTTTGAAGAAACTGTCCCGCATACACTCTATGGCCATCTTTGCCAAAATGGTTTGTCAGTCTATGAAAATGAACATTACCCCCAAATTACTGCAGTACTTTTCTTATGAGCCCCATTATTTTTTGAATTAAACTATGTGCTAAAACGTAGCTAACTATTCGGCAGCCTACAGACTATTCCTAAACATTACAACTTCTCTTTGCTATTTCTCATCTCCACCCAAACTGATTCTACAACTTGAGCTTCCATATAAAAATCGTTCCTAACTACTTTAATGATTTAACCCCTTATTAACAGAGCTTTCTTTACTTTCTGCACTTCCTCATGAAATGTCAAGCATCCCTAAATGTTCCTTTATTGAGTCATAGATACAGCATGGAAATAGACCTTTCAGTTCAACTCGTCCATGCTAACCAAGTTACCCAAACCAAACTCATCCCACTTGCCTGCGTTTGACCCATATCCCTCTAAACCTTTCCTATTCATGTACCTGTCCAAATGTCTTTTAAATATTGTAATTGTACCTGCATCTACCAAGTGAATCTGCACTTTGGCAGTTCAATCCACATACAAACCCTCTGTGTGAAAATGTTGACCCTCAGGTCCCTCTTAAATATCCCAACCTTCACAAGCCTATAAGAGATTCATGCAGGTTTTCTCCAAGAAATGTTGAATTAAATCTAAGCACAAATTGATTAAATTTCCAAAACACAGCTTCCTCTATCTAAATCTTTCCTAACATTATAACAATTAAGCCCGAATCTTGTTGCTTTGCGTTTGGATATTATGTTGCTGAGACTGCCATCAGATGGTCAAAATTAGCAACAGCATCTTGATATTAAGCAAGGTCACACAAATTATGAAGAAAATCAGTTCCAAGGAAGCTTTTAATGACTCACATGATTATTCACTCGACAGTGCTGCCTGTCCTGCTTAGTTGTCGCAGTCTAATTAAGAACATAAGAACTAGGCCCTTCGAGAATTTCTCAGACCTCTTCAATATGTGACATGTTGTTATTCCCCAGCCCAAATTAAAAAATTGTGTCAGGCTTCAGCTATTATCAACTGCTTCCTCTATTATTGCTTGGGTTTCTCACACCAGTTTTGATGGTTACTTTAAAAGTTCAGCTTTTATCCCAGGTCCTTGGCTCCAGCTTAGAGTGAGTTTGGCTTCACATGCCTGCTCCTGCTGTGTTTAGCTACAATCTATATTTGCACATTCATCCAGAATATGAGTCGATCTTGTGACACAGTGAGCAGTAGTAGCCCTGTAGCTGACTCAGAAGTTCTGGGGTTCAGGTCCCACTCCAGTAGTGCAAGGAAGGTCCATTTGTAACAAGGGCAAACAGGCTGGTCTCACCTTATGAATCCTTCTAATATGCACCAATGATGGGTGGGGGGTTTAAGAACAGGACAGATTCCTGGAAAGAAACTGAAACCTCTGCCATCAATATCACAGCTCCAGCCCACAACATGCTTGTTAAAGTGAATGCAGCCAAAGCAACTCCGATTCCCTGAGGGAGTGGTTGGTACAGTCAGCTGGATGACTGGTATGGATCAGATCAGTGCTCCCAGCCTGGGGTTTGATCCCCATTCCTGCTGGGGTAGATTCTAAGCATACATCCTTATCTTCCTGTGGTGAAGGTCATGGCACTGGGCTTAGACCTGCTTCAGGCAGAGAATTCAAGAAGATCTAGAATATGTTGGAAAAGCCTATAGGGAACACTCACAAACATTAACAACTTCATAACCTTTGAAGCAGTACCCGTCAATTATCTTTAACAACAAGGTTGGGTATGATTTCACTCTACTGCACCAGTCTTCACTGAGGCCGCACCTATCTAGTAATCGACAAGGTCTCTCTGATTGGCAAGTACAGGATAACTCTTAAATTCCTGACTGATCCATAGTACATTCATAGAAATCGGATAAGGACTTGACTTTGATGCTCCCATTCCCCATACACAGAATAGCCTACCAGCACTAATTGTCTAGACTCACAGATGAATAATGACCTCAACTACCAGCACTCATGGTGTTTTATCACAGCACAATTCACAAGAGGCAAGGGAGTAGATCACTGAGATTATTAGGGATGAATAATCAATGCTGTTGTTTGCTGTAATATTTCCTGTAGTCCTTTACTGCATGAGAATTTCCAAAAATGTAACATTAGTCCAAATTTTGGGATATTCAGATGTTTGATTGTTTAAAATTGTTTTTGGTGCTATCTCTTCAAAGGAACAAGAGATGAAAATGAGGGAGGTCAATGTAATTTTCTATTTTTCTACCAGCCAATGTTAAAACAAACAATTTTTTAAATGGAGAGCATATATGCACCACAGTTCCAATTTAGGAATCTTCCCGTTCCAAATCTGAATTTTACAATTGATTCCTGAATTGTTTATCATGTGAATATTTTTATGCTGTGACCCCATGTACAGTATAAAGTGTATTAAGACCAGTCACACTTGTATAACATAGAGAATCCTTGCATCCAGCTGGAGACTTCCATTTCATTAATCTAGGCTTGCTTTGAGCTTAATGTTCAGAAGTGAAAAAAAAATCACCATGTTGTAAACCACTGTAAAATTCAAACTTAATTTATATTCTATCAAAACGATTCTCTAAAAAAGATCTCCATGCAGTCATATCATTTAGAAAGCATGTACATAGCTTTTGTTTGATTTCCAGTCATTTTGTGCCTGGTTTGTATTTTAAAAGCTAACAATGAGTCTTAGCAGAACTTGTTTTCATTCTGTGATGAATTGGGTATTTTTGAATATTTTAAGGTAGACAGATACTACAAAATTGGAGCCTGTTGGTCTGTTTATAGTCAGATTGTGTACATGCTTTCTAAATGATATCACTGTTTAACGATGTATCATTAAAAAAACTATGGCTTTCATGATAAAAACTTCTGCTCTGACTGCTTTGTCCTTGAAACGATTTAAACTGCATGAGGATCTTTGTCGTTGAATCATTTTCATACAATATAAATTAAGTTTGAATATTACAATGGTTTACAACATTGCGATTTTTTTTCATTTCTGAACAATAAGCTCAAAGCAAGCCTAGAATAATGAAATGGAAGTCCCCAGCTGGATGCAAGGATTCTCTGTGGTATACAAGTGTGATTGATCTTAATGCACTTTATACTGTACATGGGGTCACAGCACAAAAATATTCACATGATAAGCAATTCAGGAATCAGTTGTTGTAAAATTCAGATTTGGAACGGGGAGATTCTTAAATTGGAACTGTGGTACATATATGCTCTCCATTTTAAAAATCGCCTGTTTTAACAATGGATGGTAGAAAAATAGAAAATTACATTGACCTCCCTCATTTTCATCTCTTGTTCCTTTGAAGAGATAGCACCAAAAACAATTTTAAACAATCAAACATCTGAATATCCCAAAATTTGGACTAATGTTACATTTTTGGAAATTCTCATGCAGTAAAGGACTACAGGAAATATTACAGCAAACAACAGCATTGATTATTCATCCCTAATAATCTCAGTGATCTACTCCCTTGCCTCTTGTGACTTGTGCTGTGATACAACACCATGAGTGCTGGTTGCTGAGGTCATTGTTCATCTGCGAGTCTAAACAATTAGTGCTGGTAGGCTATTCTGTGTATGGGGAATGGGAGCATCAAAGTCAAGTCCTTATCCGATTTCTATGAATGTACTTTTCAACACTGATCATGAGCTATTTACGAGGTGCAAAAGCTCCAGCTCACTTCCTCTCCCTGGCTAATTCGATCATTCTATTAGTATGCAAAATGAACTAGCTCAGCACAAGTCTCAAATCAAGAATTCTGTGTGGTCCATTTCAATTCTAGATAAGACATTGACATGCTGCTGCAGCAAAATAGCTCTGCAGGAATGATTATTTTTAATGATTGATGGAATTTCAGTGCATAGGTTTATAAAAGTGATGGAGTTCACCTCAAAATTAGTATAACATTGCTTACCTGCCTAGTTGGACAACAATGTCCCTTTAAGAACTGTACTTCAATGAGACACACTATTATGAAGATTATTTCAACAGAAACACTAAAAATCCACAGAGGCTTGTTAAATCTTATTGATAGGATTAGTGGACAGAGTGCAATTGCTGAAGGAGGATTAAACTACTTTCAGTTAGTGAAATTCAAGTTTTAATGTTCTCGATTTAATTCCTTTGTATTAATCAGGTGCCTTGTCATTGCAACCTTTTATATTACAATGATTTCACTCCTTGTTGTTGTCTATTTATAAATTGTATAAAAATTGTAAAGTCTCAGCATTCCTAAAAAATGTGCTGCTTGATAATTTTGCCTAGTTCTGAAAAGATTAAAAAAGGCAGTTGTTTTAGGAATTTGTTCAGCAAATTATGTACAAATCTCTAAGTCTCTGTGTTATAACGTTTTTCACTCAATTGACTCCCTGCAATTAACACATTTGAAGGTTGCTTTCGTGCTGCCAGGAAGTGCTATGCTCTCCTTCACTTGTCCTTGTACTTTGCAAACAAGCAATGCAAGATTCGGATCGTGGCTTTACTGTCCATATTTACAATATCTGTGGAGAATCAGAAAAGAAAGAAAGTTTCTCTTAAAATGTATACTCACAATCATAAGGTAAATACAGACAAAGAAGGTTACCAGGTCCATCAGTGAACAATCATACAGCTCTGATTCCACGACTCCTGCTGGCCTGAATGTTCAATTCAAGCCTTTATTCTTTGTTATGTAATTAAACCTTTCCTGATATTGAATCTAAATTTGCTTTTGACCCATATGGATCTTTCCCCCATTCCCCCCTTCCCCAAACCTCTTACATCATGTAACAAAGTTCCAGAGCTAACTTTGTAGTTCTTATGTCTGAAAGGTCAAATGACAGCCGATAATTTGTGGTCTTAGGTGGTAAAAGGAAGGATGTGCTCCAAAATAAAAGAAAATTAGAACTTCTGTGGATACATTCATATTCCAACAATACACAGAATCTTATAAGTTAGCGGGGCTACAACAGCAGGTCAGAAGCTGGTGATTCTGCAGTAACACATCCCCTTTTCTGCTCCTCTGATGCTGCTTGGCCTGCTGTGTTCATCCAGCTCTACACCTTGTTATCTCCCATCTCCCCAAAGCCTGTCCACCATCTATATGGCACAAGTCAGGATTGTGTTGGAATCCTCTTCACTTGCCTGGATGAGTGTAGCACCAACCATATTCAAGAAGATTGGCACTATCCAGTGCAAAGCAGTTGGCATGACCGGCACCCCTTCCATTCCTTAAACATGCATACCCTCCAGCACTGATGCACAGAGGGCCTACAGTGCGTATTACATACAGAATGCACTCGCCAAGGCTCCTTACTATCCAAAAGGAAAAGAGGCAAAAAACACATGCAAACAGAACTACGCACTAGTTGCCACAAGTCACCCATCATCCTGACTTGGAAGTACAGATACTGTGTCCCAAAATCTGACACTAAGACTGTGCTCAATGTTGGAGTTTCCCAGATTATGGAACAAACGCTACGTGAGTGTCTCTTCAGCACCCCCTGCAGGTCATTTAATTTCATAAAAGTAACAAGTTGTAGATCATGGTTTTGGGAGAGCTTGCGTGCTGCAAGTCGTTGGAACCATTATTGTCAGAAATGTTGAGGATGTAAAAGTTTGGGCAAATTTGTTACTCTTACAGTGGAGTGATTGTTGCAGGAAAAGAATATTCACTTGGGTTTTAATAACATGGATGGAGAGAAAAGGCTGGATTCTGATCCTCCTGCCCGAAAGCAGTCGAAACTGAAATGCTGGGCACAGGAAGTGGGTTACTTAAAACAGAATTCCTAGTTTCTGAGCACTGTATTCATTTGGCTCTGTCAATGAATGTGTCGTTAGAATAGAGCTTCAATGAGTGTTAAATCAGATACTTATGTACGGTTCAAATCAGCCTGAAACCTTATGAAAAAGCCAAACACTGCAGAAGCTGGAAATCTGAATTATAAACAGAACACGACAGAAATACCCAGCAGTTCATGCAGCATCTGTTATGTGAGAAACAGAGTTCATGTTTCAGGTCTGTGACCTCTCATCAAAAAATCATCTTGAGGCTGTTGACTTGCTCACCGAGCTGGCTTGTTTTCGTTCAGACAAAACATTATCAGTGAGGCTTCACCTAGCATGGTGACGAAACGTCTGAATGAAAACGAGCCAGCTCGGCAAGCAAGTCAACAACCTCACCCACAACCCGAGCTACAAATCTTTGCTAAAACCTTAAATCTTAAAGCTTGTCATTGTGACAGCTCTGTATACCCGATAGCACTGATCGGCATATATGTATTTCTCTCATCCAGAGTATTCTAATTAAAAGACACTGAGATAAAGGGGCTGAGGTGTTATTGCTTCTTAGACCACAAGAAATAGGAACAGGAGTACACTGTTCAGTCCCTCAACCCTGCTCTTTCAAAAGGATCAAGCTGACTTGATATTCCTCACGTCCACTTTCCAATAACCCTAAATCCTAGACTGATCAAGAATCCATTTGTCTCAGCCTTAAATGCACACAGCTCTCTGTGGCAAGGAATTCCAAAGACTCTCAACCCTCAGAGAGAAGAACTCTTCCTCACCTTGATCTTAAACTGGCATCCCTTCATTTTGAGACTATGCCCTCTGGTTCTAGAGGGTGCTTTTCCTTAGTGTTTTCAGCAAGCCATCAGTAGTTTCAACAAATATCCATCCTTCTCTGCAATTGACAAATATCCATCCTTCTCTGTAATTTATAAAAGTAGTACACAGGTGCAAAGTAAAACAAAGTTCTATATATTACTCAATTGTTGATTTATCTTGTTTTTCCCTTTAATCTGGCTTTACTGATGGCGGCTGAGTGGGAACTGTTCTTTCTCACCTTCAGCTAGCTTCATGTGTTTACAGCTAGTTTTCAGCTCTGGGTTTGCTTTTCACTTGTCCCCTTTTGTTGTTGTTCTGGACAAACACCTAGTTTGCCTCATGTGGCACAGGCCCCGATACTCAGTTTTAAATATCCTTGCATAAAATCGAGGGATTATCCAAAAGCTTCATCTGATTTTTCTTTATTATTTCATCACCTTCCAATGTGTTCATACTTCTCTGGAACAGGAGTGAACAGTGACACCAACCAAGTACAGGACTTTAGAATAAAGAGAAGGAACGGTGACAACATTAAACAAATACTGAAATTGCCCTTTCCAGTCTTCGCAAGGTTAATATCTCACTCTATATTTCAGTTTACAACAAATCTTTGTGCAGATACACACTATCAAAACCACCTGTTTAAAAAGCTGTGCCTGCGTTATTTTAGAATGTGCAGGTCATCCAATTTTTAAATAAATTTTACTCAATTAAAATTAATGTGCCTGAATGTTGGCCTGGAGCTGCATGGTGCTGGATTTGTTACTTATTTTGTCACTTGCATACTGCCCTACTGCCACGCTCCATGACCCCAACCAAACCGAATTATTAACTACCCACTGCCTAAAGAACCTGCCTCAAACTCAAACAAAGTCTATATCTGCTGGGGCCTTGATCCTGAGACTGTTCATTTTGAGAGAGAATGTACCTGTAAATGGTAACTTAGAGCCAGAGTTATTGAGGACTAATACCTTCCATATAAAATCTTCCCTTCAGCTGGTTCATTTTCCTACAGGTGGGTTGAAGAAGAATCAGACATAAGCATTTCATCAATAACTAAACCTCAAGAAAACAAATGTATATTCCAGTTCCTTTTGGTCTAAATAGCCCAAATCAGAGGGATTCCTGTCTCAGCTTGGGCTGAATCTCACCACCGCAGGAACTTAACTCAGCTGCATCACATTGCCCAAGAAATATGTAACATCGCAACAACCTTAATCTTCAATAATCCAGATTTTAAAAAGTGCAAAAATAAAGACCTTCTTATTTTTCTAAATGTTCACTGACCTGCAGGATCAATTGGATGCTTCAACAGTTCTCTCTCTTTAAGAAGCTCCACGACAAATGTAACATTGTAAAGCTGCAATGGAAGACAACAAATATTAGAACGTGTTTTATTTTCTGTGCAGAAGGTGTCAGGGCCTCTTTCAGGTAGATGAAAAATGAATTTCAGTTGGAAATGTGGATTAGATCTGAAGATGTGTACTAGAATTTTTGTAGAAGCTGGAGCGGTTCTTTCTCCACTGATCCCAATTCCCAGCCCCACCGCTATTAAATTTACAGTAATTAAATGAGATGATGATCAAGGATTAAAATAATATGGATTAACAGTAATATGAAGTGATTAGCTGTAAATCTGACTTAATTGTCAGGCTTCTTAAAGCTTCACATCACTTCAACCTCAAATAGCACTGATAAACTGGAGCAGTCACAAGCTGAGTTAAATGAGAATCTAGGATACTGAAATGCAGTTATCCGTAAAGTCTAAACCAAGTGCTTTACCCATTTATCATCTCCATAGCTTATTTCAACACAGCAGCAAGCTATGTTACAATGTAGTTGGAAACAAGTGTGAGATTCATCTCAAGAAGGTGGTTTACAAGGGGTTCTGAGTGCAAAGACAGATCTCCCGTCCAATCCCGCAAGTTAACAGATTAAGTTAACCCCACATTGCTTACATTCCCCTCATGAGCTTGTGTCTGCAATCTGGCAGTGATTGTTTCCTTCCCTTTCAACTGCGAAGC